TCTATGAACACTTTATTTATGTGTTTAATGCCCCATAGAGAAACCAGACATCATATTCTCAAATTTGTCATCTTCTTCAACCGATGAGAAATGAAAAAAAAAAAAAAAAAATTTTCTATATCTTTTTGATATATAGTGGAATGTTTCATTTGGCCAAGCCCATGTGATTTTTCCTTTTCTGAATTTTCCATGTTAAAAAATTTGATTTAATAACTTTTCTCATATAAAAGCTAAAATACAAACTCTATCAACTCAAAAAATTTTAACAACTAATAATTATTCCACAAATTTTCTATAAATTATTATATTAATATCAATAAATGTTTAAAACAAATTAATTTATAGATAACAAAAAGCGAAATTGAACAAACTAAATATAAATCAAATTGAAAAGATTTCATAATCCAAAAAGGTCAAATTGATTAATCTCGTTTATGAGCCAAATTGGAAATTTAGATGCATTTAAAATGTTTAAAAATGTACAGTTGTATTATATTAAGTATATTTAGTGTGTTTGTATTATAATATATAAATTAAAAAAATATAGTAAATTTAATAATTATTTTACCTAAAAATTATTGTTAAGATTTGAAATTTGTCAAAGTTTGAGAGCCCATTGGAGATACTTATATTGTGAAAAAATCAAAACATTTTATTTTACTTTTTTATTTTTGACTGCATATTATGGTTCACAACAGTATAATCTCCATAATTATAGATTAAAAACATTGAGAACATGAGAATTGTACTAATGAAAATAAAATAAACAATTTAAGTAAGATATGACACAATAAATAAAAAAGAATTCATATAGCAAAACTCCCACATAATTGAGATAAAAAACTTATTATTATAAAATAGCTATTAAAATATTCAATTTAGAAAAAAAATGCATTTTTTACAGATACTATCATCTAAATTAGACAAAATAATAAAATTTTATAAAAAAAACTTTGACTCCCATAAAATATTCTCCTGCCAATAAATTTTTTAAAGAGTGATTACACATTCTCCCTTCTTGAGCAAAATATCTCATAGCCATCCTATTTTCTTCTAGACATTAAATTCTCAAAAGAAGATAATTGAAAAGTAGGCTCTTTTCCTACAAAGTCGAAGGAGATCAAGAAAGTTCAAAATGGTTTTAGAAGAAAAGAAATCTGTTCTCAAAAACAGTTTTAGATTTAATAATAAACAACAAGAAAACAAAATCCATCAAATTGAAATAGCTTGATTAGAACACTCTTTTTAGCATGAAGAAGACTTAGTTCTCATGTAGAAACTAATTTATCTTCACTTTCTGAGCGTGCCTGTTCCTTTTCTTAGGGCCAGACTTGGCAACTTGGAGTTCTGCGGCGCACTGCCACTAGCATAGCAACGCTGCCGTTTTTCAGACTTCAAGGTCTATAATGGTTAGTCTGCAACCTGCAAAATAAAGGATAAAAAATCAATCTTTAACATGATTTGGTGTCTGATGAATTTTAGTTGAATAATACAAAGAAAATTTATGATCATTTGATTAATTGCAGCAGACCATCTATGAAAGGACCGCGATTTCAATCACATTACATCTAGGGATTGAAAAGAAAGTTATGTATTGATGAATCACAAAAAACAAACGTAGAAGCAAAAGCTTAAATTAGTTTCATTTGAAGAATCTGAAATGAAAAAGACCTTGATCATCACAACAAAATCTATACGCATCCTTACAAGAGAAACTTGCAGCGAACAAATGATAAAATTTAAAAGAGAAATGTAAATTTGTCCATTTATTGTTTTGACAAAATCCATTACGTGCCATGAACTATATGTTGTAACCCCTCACATGAGAATTTTGCTAGACTAGATGAGAAAGAGAATTAAAGTTCTAGATAAAAGTTATCAGAACCATAAATTTGGCGTAATTAGAATTTGTAAGCTCTAATTAGTTATTTCTCACCAAAACAACAAAATCATAATAGCTCAGGAAATGGGTAATGATAGTTTGAGGCGGTCTACAACTCCAAGATTTGGAAGACATTACGCGATCTTAGTTCTACTGTACTTTTTACATATGAGACGGACACAATTAAGCTTTGTTTCAGACAGCTATATTATGCCTGGCTTTCAATGAACACAACAACACAATTTCTTATTTGATCACTGCTTTATAGTTGCCTATACCCACAAAACGTTTTTTTACAAAAAAAAAAAAAAAAAAATAAAGAAACCAAAAAAAAAAAAAAAAAAAAAAAAAAAAAAAAAAAAAAAAAACTGTCCAAAACAAAAATAACATATAAAAAAATATGATATTTAGATTACACTTTTCACGATTAGCTGTATACAAAGTTACTTTTTCTACCACTTAACAAAAACACTAATTATTAATGATCGCAATGAGAAGGGAAAAAAGAGTTGTGGGGCATAAGTCTAAATTTAAGACTTCAATTTGTAACATGAAGGAATTTGGGGGAACTTGTGCGTAGACCAGGAAGAATTAATGGGAATAAGAGAGAACAAAGAAACAGTCTGAAGATAAATTTGTTTATATGAATAAAAATCTGGTTTATGGTCTTACACGTGTACTCTCTAATATTAGAATAGGCTATATATATGTCTGGCTGTTTGTATTTGGGATCAAGAAAGAAATAATAAAAGGTTTGGCTTTCTCTTCCTCTTCTTCCCATCTGTTCTTACTGTTCAAGAAGATTCAATTTCTACAAGAGCAACTCGTTCTCTACAGAAATGAGTATTGAAGCTCGAAAGGGAAAATTGCCTATTCAAGATAATGGTATGCCTCTCTGTGATAAAAAAAAGGAGAAAGAAAGGGTGCAATAGCAACTCGTTCTCTATATATATGATTTTCTTAATCATATATATATTTATTAATTTTTTAAAAAATTAAAAAAATGATCATCTGAAATCCAAGTTTGACATGCTTATAACTGAATCGAGCAACTCAGCAAGATGAATCTAACAAGCCCAAGATCACTCTAATCTGTATTATTAAGACACTTAAATGCTAAAAAATGATTTATGATTAAGAAAATCGATATAGACCATATGATTGAGTATTTTGGATCCTTGCACAAATTATCAAAATATTAATCGCAAAAATCCAATAAATACAGTCTCATTCTCCACATGAGAGGATAAAAGAAAGGAGAGAAATAGATAAATTTTCAATTATCGCCATCAATGACCACCACAAGCTATTGTTATCGATAGGGGTGTCAAAATGAATTTTTAAGTTGAGTTTGGGTCAAACACAAAATTGAGTCTCCTTTAACTGATCTGACCCGAACCAGACTTAATTAGACAAATGGATAAGAAATTCAAAACTAAACCTAACCTACTAACCTGCGGGAGCGAGAGATAAGTTTGGGACTACACTAGAATGACTACGGGTGAGAGATGGTGCGGAAGTGCATGACTGCAGGGGAGAGCGCAACTATGGGTAAGGGTGGGACAACGCAAGTGTGTGACTATGCATGTGCGAGCACATGTGCCAACAAAAGCCTAGCAACGAGCAAGCGAGGGAAAGGCCTCGTTGACGCAAGCGCCTACACGACTGCGGGCATCGAGTGTTAGCGCCTTGAGTGATTTTGTGAAGGTGTGTGAGTCCAGGGTGAGGTGTCTGCGTGGGGGCGACTAATGAGGTTGGATGGGGACTCGAGTCAAATCAGGGTAATAGTTGACCATGACTTGACCAGATTTTTTAAATGGGCCAAAAATTGGAACCCGAAGCCGATCCAATTGTTAAACAGATCAACCTGAACCCAAATTTTTCAAGTCGGGTTTGGGTCAGGTCAATAATTGATAGCCTTAGCCATCGAGAACCACCGTCACCATTAGTAATCGCCGCCACTAGAATTCTAACAAGATATAACCCTGTTGTTGGGTGTAGTTGTTTGCATGTGGACCCTGCTTTTTATAATCCCTATTGGTGAAATCAAGTCATATTATTGGGTGTTAATTGTATATCTATGAACACTTGATTTATGTTAATCCCCATAAGAGAAACCACATCATATTCTCAATTTGTCATCTTCTTCAACGATGGGAAATGAAGGATTTCTATATCTTTTGATATATAGTGAATGTTTCATTTGGGCAAGGCCATGTGACTTTTCCCTTTCTGAATTTTCCATGTAAAAAGTTTTGATTTTATAACTTTTTTCTGTATGTGTTGAATTTGTGTACAATGCTAAAATGTAAAATACAAACTCTATCAACTTAAAAATTTTAGCAACTAACAATTATTCCACAAATTTTCCTATAATTAATTTATAATATCAATAAATGTTTTTAAAACAAATTAATTTATATATACAAAAAGTGAAATTGAACAAACTAATTTAAATCAAATTGAAAGATTTCATAATCCAAAAGGTCAAATTGATAATCTCGTTATGAGCCAAATTGAAATTTAGATGCATTAAAAATGTTAAAAATGTACAGTTGTATTATATTAAGTATATTTAGTGTGTTTGTATATATATAAAAATTAAAATATATTAAATTTAATAAATATTTTACCTAAAAATATTGTTAAGATTGAAATTTGTCAAAGTTTGAGGAGCCCATGAGATACTTATATTTTGAAAAAATCAAACATTTTATTTTACTTTATTTTGACTGCGTATTATGTTCACAACAGATAATCTCCATCAATATAGATTAAAAACATTGAGAACATGAGAAGCTGTACTAATGAAATATAAATAACAATTTAAGTATGATATGACACAATAAATAAAAAAGAATTCATATAGCAAACTCCACATAATGAGATAAAAACTTATTATTATAAAATAGCTATTAAAATATTCAATTTAGAAAAAAATGCATTTTTTATAGATATTATCATCTAAATTAGATCAAAATAATAAAATTTTATAAAAAAAACTTGACTCCCATAAATTATTCTCCTACAATCAATTTTTTAAGAGTGGATCTACACATTTCTCCCTTCTTGAGGCAAAATATCTCATAGCCATCCTATTTTTCTTCTAGACATAAAATTCTCAAAGAAGATAATTGAAAGTAGGCTTTTCCTACAAAGTCGAAGGAGATCAAGAAAGTTCAAAATGGTTTAGAAGAAAGATATCTCTCAAAACAGTTTTAAGATTTAAAATAACAACAAGAAAACAAAATCCATCAAATGAAATAGCTGATTAGAACACTCTTTTAGCATGAAAGAAGATTTAGTTCTCATGTAGAAACTAATTTATCTTCACTTTCTGAGCTTGCCTGTTCCTTTTCTTAGGGCCAGACTTGGCAACTTGGAGGCTTCGGCGCACTGCACTAAGCCTTGCAAGCGCTGCCTTTTTCAGATCAGGTCTATAATGGTTGTCTGCAACCTGGCAAAATAAAGGATAAAAATTCAATCTTTACTGATTTGGTGTGATGAATTTTGAAAATACAAAGAAAATTTTATGATTCATTTGAACCTTTCAGAGCCTCTATGAAAGGAAGGAGATTTCAATCACATTACAATCAGGATTGAAAAGAAAGATGATATGAATCACAGAAAACAAAGCGTAGAAGCAAAAGTAAATTATTTCATTGAAGATCTGGAAGTGAAAACAGACCTTGATCATCACAACAAAATCATATACGCATCCTTCAAGAGAAACTTGCAGAACAAATGATATAAATTTAAAGAGAAATGTAAATTTGATTCATTTTATTGTTTGACAAAATCCAAGTGCTGAAAATGTTGTTAACCACTCACATGAGAGATTTTGCTAGACAAGAGAGGAGAATTTAAAGTTCTAGATTAAGTTATCAACCATAAATTGGGGTATAGATTTAGCTAAAGTTTCTCAAAAACAACAAAATCATATATAGCAGAAATGGGTAATGATGAGTTTGAGGCGGCCTACAACTCCAAATTGAAGACAAGCGATCAGTTCTATGACTATGAGCGACACAATTAAGGCTATGTTTCAGACAGCTATATTATTGCCTGGCTTTTCAAACAACAAACACAATTTCTATTTGATCACTGCTTTTTAGTTGCCTCCCAAAAAGTTTTTACAAGAAAATCACTTTCTACGATAGCTATACAAAGTTACTTTTTCTACCACTTTACAAAACAGTAAAAATGATATCGCAATGAGAAGGGAAAAAGAGTTGGGTAAGTCTAAATTAGGATTCAATTTGTAACATAAAATTTGGGGACTTGTGCGTAGACCAGAGAATTAATGGAATAAGGAACAAGGAAAAGTTGAAAGATAAATTTGTTTATATGAATAAAATCTGGTTTTGTTGGGATACGTACGCCGCCTATAAAATTAGTTGTGAATAATTGCAGGGAAAATAGCAAATATATACTTTAAAAATGAAAAAAAAAATCACTTGATTATTTTCAAACGTTAAACCTATGAATAATAAATAATTTCTTTTTATTAGATAGGTATGAAAATCAATTTTGTAAAATTTGTAAGATAATTTCAAAATAAAGATTGTAACACGTCATAATGTAATAGTTATTGATGTATATTTTAAGATCATATTAAAATAGTAATAATTAATAATTATCCTATGAAGAGATTGCAGAATTAAAAGGTGATAACAATGGTTGAAAAGTTTCTAAACCACAATGTGGAGGAATGTAAGTGCACCCTTGATCAAGTTGTGTCACAGCTTAATACCTATTTTGTTTGCTCGGACACGCAAATGGCATACATATTCATACAGAAAGGGTTGTAGAAAATATCGCACCAATACATAATTTGAGAGCTTATCTAAGTACAATGGTCATATAACCAATTCAGCCCAACGTGGACCTTTTTGGGCATTCTCCATAAGATATGACACCAATTATGTCCAAAGGGTTACAAAGATTAAAATTCTCAATGCATTTTATGTATTAAAAATGTCATTGCACTGATTAGGGGTGGATCTCTCCCTTCAGGATGGGGGAGGGGGAGAATCCCCCCTAAAAAATTTAAAATACTATAATCTTCAGGCAATTCAAACATAAAAAAAGTTAAGAGTAATAATATTTTGTAGACTACCATATATGTACATTATAACATATAAATGGCAAGATACGACATGAGATTAGAGAAGCCTTAATAAAGATTATTTGGGACCTATTTGTGCCTAAGCCTGCCTCAACATATAATAACATGATTTAAATGAAGTGGCGCCTATGACGAGTTTTGGGTCACATAAGGTTCTACAAGTTCAAATCAGCTCAGCACACAAGCAGGATCATTTATTATGAAAAAGATAAAACTATCTTGATTCAGATAACTATTATAATGATATGATAAAAAATAACTAGAAAAAAAAAATATAAGAAATCACTTGATTAAAAAAAAATGAGGCATAATATTTAAATATTTTTACTAATTTTGTACATAAACAAATTCTAATAATTTGTATATACATTTTATATTAATATTTTTTAAACTAGTCAGAACACAAGCTAAACAAGTTGAATCGAAATTAACTTAAGCTTGGATTATTAGCTTATCCAGCTCAACTCATTAGCAATTTATTATATTGAGCCCATGCCGATTCACAAGTGGGCTTGACTCAATTACACCCCTTAAAGCTAACAATTGGATTCAACAACAACAGCAAGAATGATCAAAGTGGTAGAAGTTTGGTGATATTTAAGGATCAAAGGTTCATTTAGCAATCTATTAGTTGTTTGATAAACCCCTAGAAAAAGAAATCATTTTTTGAGTCTGATGGTTAAAATAGAACCAAAAAGATTGATCAATACTAAGTCTAAATTACAGAAACTAAGCAGTAAATTTACCCATCTCACTGATGTGTACACAAATTTTTGCATGAATAAATAGATTTCAATTCATAATAATATACATGAAGAAAATGTGCATCTATTAACGTTCCTGTAGCCCAGGCAATGAATCGTTCATTTATAACGAATCCAATTAGAAATATAGAAGAAAGACACACTATAAGGAGTTTAGTGCTTCAAATTTATGAATCTTAGTCTTTAAGAATGTAAAATTTCATCGTTTTAAGATGAAACTTTACAATAATATATCCTACAAACAATAATAAATCCTGCAAACCCTGTATCTACAAACGAGTATGGCAAGTTATAAATGCAAAAATTAAAGGAAAAAAAATGAAGAAAAAGAAATTATAACCACACAAAGAAAAAGCTCAAATAACATTGCTGCTAGATGATATGTACACAAAAAGCACAAAACAGTGAAAAGCATGTAAGGGAAGATCTTTTCACAGCGGAGAATTATATAAAATTCAGGTATAAAAAAGCCATTACCTGACTAATCACTGCCTTTGCCACTTTGCGGAATTCTCTCTTCATAATCGACCTGTGGGACAGACTAATCGGTTTGTTCTGCTTTTTCTTCTTCGTAGTAGCAAGGACAACAGAGAGATCTTTTCCAGCAGGCTGAATGGATACGGTCTTCTTGTTCGCCAAACCTAAAATTTTTTAAGACAATTTGTCGTCTCTATAGCAAAAGGAGTAAACAAAGTCAAACAAAATGCAAGTGCACTCACTCACCAGAGAACTTGAATGAATGAACATTATAAAGGTTGTTCTTCTCCTTGCTAAACTGCACCATGGCGCTACCGTTACCAAACTGCTTCAACAGAAAGGCATTATTCTTCTTCACTATCTCCCAAATGAGAGCATCGGGAACAGTAGCCATTGCACCTGCGTGGCAAACAAAAGAAAAGAAAAGCAGTAAATTTGTGGGTGTGAGTGCCCACGTTTGGATCTTTAGATCTAACCAAAAAACGGCACAAATAGGAGTATTGGTCAATACGGAAAAATTAAAATGACAGAACATCAAACGAACCAAAGATTAAGCAACAAATTTCTCTTCCTGGTTATTCACTGCATAAAACTATTGCAATTAAATGAAGGTCTGATAGTATCTAAGAAAAAAATACAAGGAATAGTTTTAGAGAACTAAAAAAAATTCAAGCCAATGAAAATCATGAAATGAACATATAACTATTACGATTAAATGATCTATATACTGAAAGCTAAAGAATTCACTTGATAGAGATGGCGAGAACACAAAGGATTAAGGATGGCACCAAGTACTGTCCTTACCACCACCTGCTCAGTCACCTGATTGAAGGCTGTATTGTTTTCAAAGATTTGATAGAGAAGAATTTCAGGGGAGGAGCACGAACTCGGACCCATACACTAGTGCGAACGGAGTGGATTGTGTTGGGGTCCTATAAGTGGCAGATAGGCCCACAAGGCTTCCACCAACCTCTCATCCCACTGACGTTTATTGTCATTGAGGATCTTTTTAATAATCTGTACATTAAATGGAGTGCTAGAATAGTTCATTAATGCCTCAAGAGAGAGATATCCATGTCCCATCCTTGAAAATTCTAGAATTCCAAGAATTCAAACTTCATCTTACTCAGGTAATCAGGCTTCTTTAGATAGTTTGGCCAAAATTTATCCACGATAGAGCTCAACCTGAGCACGTGGATGTCCAAGTATATCCTTTCAACTCATATGATATATCAATGCACTTGTAAACCCGATTATTGATATTTGATAACTCCTTGTTAATAGCCTCAACTTTGAATTCCTATACCTTTGCTTTCTTATTGAGTGAAAACAACTCATAGGAGAAATCTTCGTCCCAATTTCCTCAATCTTAGTTACTAGGGGAGTGGGGTAAGGAGGAATAGGATGCTAAATCTTTGAATTTCTTCAAGATTATTAGTTAAGCAATTTCATGAACCCTAAAAGGTCTTTGACTTTTAAAAACCATCTTTATATAATACCCTACAACATCTTCAATCTAATGAAAAAGGACTTAAATCTACGACGCTATATGACAACATATATGGTATGAAGTGTGGGAAGAATAAGACTGGCATCAAATTTCTTGCCATTAATTTCATCAACATCCTGATCATCCACATAAGTAACATAACAACGAATCTTCAATAATGAAAGCGTATTCCAGAAGGTACCATCATCTTGAAGAATAATATCAACAACTGAACACTATAGGTGGAGATTTGAAATCCAACTTTAAAAGTTCAATCTTTCATTGATTTTGGCTTAATTAATTCATATTATTCAGCAACTTGGGAATCTACAACCAAAGAATCACTTGAGGACTAGAAATCACTTGATTCTCGAAACATATTCAAGTCCCCATGAGTCATCTCCAGCATACACTTGGATAATGATGCTCAAAAGTCATAATTGTCAAAGCATTTTAAATACAATAGAAAAGCACTCCAAAAAATATCTCTGGATAGCGTAACATATGATTCCTTTCTAGACTTTGACAAACATCTTGCACAACAATCAACTATTACAAAACATCTCAAAATAACACGAAACGCTAACATTAATAACATTAAAAATATAAAATATGTCTCAAATAAATTGAAGGAGGCTGTCATTCAACAACATTAGATTAATTTGAATCTACTATATTACCTGCAACAACACATCACCTAATGTAAGATCTAACAATATGCTATCAAAAATTTATTTTTAAATCAGTGTTATTGAATTATCAAATTATTTATAGCATAAAAAAAAAACTCAAGTATTTCAAATCTGATCAAGGTACAAAAAAGTTACACTCATGGCTAAGTAGGTGATTATTATTTTTACTACCATATTTAGATATTTCATACAGGGTTAGTAATCATAAATCTTATATAAATATAATCAAATAGACAAATTTTTTATAATTTATAATATTTTCACACATTAGTCTCTTGGTGTCAAGGTTCACAGATATAGAGAATAATGTTCAATGAGAACATTAAAAGGAAAATTTTGTTGGAAAATGAAAAAATTTGTCAAATATTAAATGAGCTCATCAAAGAAATAAAAATTGTTACAATATCAATAACAGTCCTGAGATAATACTACATAACACAACTAAAATAGATATATGTGATGATAGAATAATGCTTTCAACAAGATACAAATTTACAACAATCAACAATATATAATATAATTTGAACTTCCTAATTGGTAAAAGAAATAATACTTCATGTTATACTAACTCTCTTTCAACTTACCAATTAAAACCTATAAACTATTGAAAAAAATATATTCTTTTATCATTCGTAAATGTTGGAGACATAAAAAAAAGGTTTATTTACAAAGAGAAGCAAAAACATATCAAATGAAATTACAAGATATCAAATTAAGTTATTAAATATAAAAAATGTTAATATAATTTAACATCATAAATTCAATATTTTTATTAATGCCTAATAGATATGAATTACTTGCCTTTACTTTATATGAAGAATAAGCCAACATTGAAGACAAAAAAAGCAACTGAAGGATCACACAACAATCATTTTAAATTTTTAACAATATCAGTTCTTGGAAAACAATGTAATGGCATCTCAAAATAAAAATTAAAAAAATCCTAATTTCAAATACAAGATTCTCATGTAACATGCACATTAATAATCTCAGGCTTCACAATATCTACATCAACAATTATACAAATAAAACCTAATATATCATAATCATGATAGCTCATTAGTTCATTACATGGTATGTTTTGGTAGGACATTAAGTTAAATGATTTGAGGCTAGATAGAGATGATCACAATTGTTGTCATAGAAGTCTTAAAACAATAGTTCAACTTCAAATGATTAAAGTATATGAGCATTTCTTCATCTCTTGAATTCATGTCTCATCTTTCAAAAGGATCTCTAAGCTTTTAGAATGTAGAACATTCAATCAAATCAAATAAACAGTTATTCACTGAGCAATTAATTTAAAGATGCCCATTTGGCTCTAAACCTTTACACAAGAAGGAATTTTGAACTCATTATATAGATACATAGTCATTGTGGGGAGATTTAAATGACAGAAAAAGGTAAATTGAAGCACGAAACAATCAAAGGAATCAAAGGACATGCAACTAATTCTCCTCTAAGCTATTCATGTTAAGCAGCATTTTCAGTTAAGTTAGTTGAAATCAAAGTCTTATAGTATCTAAAAAGAAAAGGGAGCAATAATTTTGGGAGAACGACTTCTGCTAAAAAAAAGCGTGCATCTTCGACCCGTAAATGAAGAAAGCAACAGAATTTGATAAAAATAAACGGAAAAACTTAGATCGTCACAAGATTAAGAAATAAAATGCATCAAACTGGCGAACGATTTACCAAGGACAGACGAAGAGGTTCGCTCTCAGCTCTCTCTCCCTGTCGTTCCACGGCCTCGCAGGAACCGGCTAAATCACGAAGCTCACAGTTTTATATCGGCATATAACCCTAAACCGGGGTGCAATTACTCAATTGCCCCCGCTGAGCCCTTTCAGATCGACAAAGAAATTCGGCCTAGTTTTGACTTTTCATGCAAGAATTATGTAGATATATTTATATCTTCAATACTATTATAAAAAAATGGTCTTTTCTATCTTTATTTTCTATATAATCCATATATATCACCTTTTTAAATGCCTTAATTATTTTTTGCTATTTCCAAAATTATAAAAGACTTTTAAAATTATTATAAATAATAATTAAATTTTAATGAAGTCTAACTACTAAACTCAAAGTAATTATGGATTTCAAATTATTAATGTGAATTTTATTTTTTAATTTTCTATAGAAAAAAATGTATCTATTTATCTATATATATATATATATATATATATATATATATTCCAGCTTATTATGTGACTCTTTTGAAAAAGATGAGAATGATCCGCAAAAATTTCCAATCCTTTTTTAGGAAGATATTTATAATATGGAATATTTGATAAATGTCTCATATACTTCCAAAGCAAATTGTGAATGACTACATATTACACACTCCAACATATTACTATTTTATTTATAAAATAGAACACAATCAGTAAGAAAGCTATTGTATAAAGCAGTAAGAAAGTTGTCTCAAACAAAGCCTCGTCCGTTTTTTGGTTTGATATTTATTTGCAAGTAATTTATGTTCTTATCATTGAACTAATTTAATTCTTGAAAAATATAAAAAATTACATGTATTATGTTATGTGTGGAATCTGATTGTATTGATCAATTTGGTTGTTTTGTTGCCTCAGACCTCAAGTTTGTCATGTGTGCTGGGGGGGTGCGACGGGTTTACCCCTGCTTGGGTTTAGCTACTTTGCACCCTTTATTTTTTTCATACAACGCATCGGTGTTGTGTACCCAAGCGCCCCAAAGTTGAATGACTGAGAGCGGAGCGCCACAACGGTCTAGATATGGCACTGCAGTAGATCAAGACAGTTGTTTTAGCGTCGCAGCTTCCCAAAATAGTTTTCTTTCTCAGTTTTCTATAGGTTTGCGTCCCTTGGAGTTGTTTACTTGGCTTTATCTTGTATTTTAAGGAAGATATTGAGAATGGTGCATGTGAGAAGAGAACCAAGGAGAGAGTGACAAAGAAGAGAGAGATGCACTCATTTCTTCCAAGTTTAATTGTGGATTTCTTGGTATGGTGTGATGTGGCTCCATAGTTTTTTTCCCTATTTTGAGTTTTTCAACCTTAAATCCTAGTGTCTTTTACTTTCTCCGTTGCTTATACTTTCTTGCTTGTTTCATCATTGTGGTGTTTACTCCTCATCTCCCAACATTATATACATTGAAATCATATATTCAAAAATTGATAAATAGCTGATAAATTTAAGTCTCAACTATCCCATAATTGTTCATCTACACATCTTAATGAAGGGTATACAATTATATTGCTTGTGAATTTGGCTTACTCAATTGAGTTCATATCTTAAAAGCATATTCTATTAAGCTTCGTTTGGGATAACATTCTTATTGCTTTTTAAATCTATTTTCTAGTAAAAAAATTCTAAATTTTTAAAGCTGTTTTCGAGCACAAAATTTTTTAAATCAGGCATTTTTGTACTAAATTTTGCTTTAAAAATAATATGAAAATTATCTCAAATGAAACCTTATTCTATAAATATGAACCAATTGCATCCATAACTAGATCTAAATACGATACTATAATCTTCTACATGAACTATTTATCGACGAATGAGTATATTTTCACTATAGTCGTAGCAATCATTATAATTCATCATAATTCATACATCATTTTATTTGTATAAATGAATAATAACACCACCATGAATAGTGGTGTCAATTCGGGACAACGGGTCAAGTTCGGGTCGAACCCGAAACTGACCCGACACTGTTCGGGTCAACCCAAACCCAACCCAGTTTTAAAAATGGGTCAGGTTTCCGGACCCGAACCCAACCTGATTCGGGTTCGGGTCAACCCGACCCGACACGAATGACCCGAAGTTGACCTAAAATTGCTAGTTTTCGTGTCAAAACCGGTTAAATCTTCGATTTTTCGGGTCAAAATTGGGTTAAAAAAGGGTCAATCTCGGGTTTTCGGGTCAAATAGGAGTTTTCGTGTCAATTTCGGGTTGCTGGATCAACCCGAACTCGACCCAATTTTTAAAACGGGTTGATTTGTTGAACCCGAACCCGACCCGTTTCGGGTCCGGGTTGACCCTAACCCGAATTTTTCCGGGTCGGATTCGGGTCGTGTTTCGGGGCGTGTCAAAAATTGACACCCCTAATCATGAACAAAAGATCTAGTAGCTCTATATGTGCTATATATAAATCTACCTTTTTCACCATCGACATTTTTGTCTGCACAAATGCAAATATAAGAAACTCATCAACACCACGTATTAATTCTGAAGGTGAGTCACAATGAGCAGCAGAGCTGATGAGACCAAATGCCTCTGTCGCAAATTCATAAAAATTTCCAATATTCATTATGCACTTTCATGAACTTAGTACATCATAGTTAAAATTAAATTAATTAAAAATCAAACCATTTAAATTATACTAATATAATTATTAACATATAAGATTAAATTTGATTTTTAAAACTAATTAGTTTCGGCTCCACTTCCGCCTCAGCCTAGTTTTTCTTCTTTCTAAATGTCGTTATTATCTCTGCCCCCTCTCTCTCTCTCTCGTCTTTCATAAAATTTGATATATTACGATCTTATACTAATTTAATTAATCTAAATATGATTCAAAATTAAGACTTAATTTAATTAATTCAAATAAAATAACCTTAAGTATAAAAACAATTTATTTAAACTTAATTTAATAATAACGCTCATAATTATATTAATTTTTTATATGAAAATGCATATGATTTTAGAAGTATTTTTATAATTTTTCGTTAAAAATATATATCATGATATGTGATTACACGGAATAAAAATTATATTTTGAGAGTAATTTAATGATTAATAGTAATTTGTGCCCCCATACAAAAAACTTTTCCAGCTCCGCACTTAACTGCGTGCTGTATCTCGATGATTTGTGAGCTATAAGGACTGATAGTTTAGTCTTAAAGAATTGCGAGTCATAAGGATGGCTAACTTTTTATATTAATGACTTGCAAGCTACGGTGCTTGAATTCGTGGCTAAATGATGGGCGCTTAATGAACCATTGAAGACAAATGTTGAATCAAGCTTGCGATTTAGGCTTCACTTGGAACATCTTTCTTACTATTTTATGAAGTAATTTCTTGATATAATTTTTTATATAAAATTTTTGTACTAAAAAATTGCTTCATAAAACAGTAAGAAAATTGTACCAAACAAAACCTTAACGAGCTTAATTCTGACCGAAGATACAAAAATGTGGCATGCCCTTCTAGTTTGCACTTCTTACTTATGACCTTGTAAGGCTTAGAGACGAACCTTGTCGACGAACTTTGTGGCTAAATAATAGGACCATGATGAACCATTGAAGGCAAATGTCAACTTTATTTTGCGACTTGATGAGCTTATGCATTTGCAAATGTATTTCCAAAGGTAAGACTTCTTGTACTAATATAAAGAGTAATTCTTTTCATTTGGGCAGTTTGTATAATTGTTCTTGTTATTTAAATTATTTAATCTCTAATTTTGTATTGTAATTAAGATTTATCAAGCAATTTATTTGCAAGGCTTTCTTTTTAAAATATAAATTTGATTACAACAACAACAACATCGAGCCTTTGTTCCACTATATGGAGTCGGCTACATGAATCCTTTTTCGCCATTGTGTCATGTTAAAAGTCAATTTCTCATTTAAATCTAATACAGAAAGATCATGTCTAATATTTTCTAATCAAGTCTTTTTAGGTCTATCTGTACATTTCTTAACATAAGTCAAATCTAATACATCAACTTTTCTAACCGGGTCATCGGAAGGCCTCCGTTTAATGTGACCAAACCATCTAAGGTGACTCTCTCTAATCTTATATTCCACTGGAGCTACTCCAGCCTATAAATTTGTTGAATCGCTAAATTTTATCATTTACTCAGTATTTTTTTTTACAGAATTTCATATTTTTAGCAATTCTTTAAATGAACAAAACATGTTTACTGCCCACCTTAAAAGCATCAATTTTTTTCTAAAATTACAAATTTCTAACCCACAATTATGATTTTTTTTTTTCCATCTCCGATCTCATCCTAAATTGCATTAAAAAACCTAGACCTTTAATCATCAAACATCTGCCATATCTTTATACTATCTACTCAGGAACTTAAGATGCAGGTTTAAGTGTTCTAAAACAATACAAACATGATCACTTACCTGCTTGGTAAATCCACAGTAGGTCAGAAAGAACACACCATCCATGCTGAAATACATGCAGGACAAATGCATTGCACGAACAAGCTTAAGCACCTGCACAAGGAATCAGATTTTGAACATAAGTTAAGAGCATTAATTGCAAATACTACACAAGCAGAACATAATCTGATAAGTGAAAACTAAAACAAAAATATAACCATAGTAATAGTTTCACAGTAACATATTGCATGGTCAAATCTAACAAAATCAAATACACAAATCAGTTGACAAACACAAAAACATTAAAAGAGAAATCCTGAAGTCCAAAACAGTCAAAGCATAACATGCTTATGGAAGTTAAGATGTCGCTGAAAAAGGCTTACCAGAAGGTGTGACAAGTTAAATAATAATATATTTGCAAAAAACAAAATTAGCATACCTTTTTGAGAATAGAAAGTACTAAATAAATTAGAAAATGTCCAATTGGCAAGACAAATCAAAGCTTGCACAGTTTTCAACTTGAGTGAACTCTGGCTAGATTTCTAACTTTCTTTCTGAAACTTGACTTTGATGCCAGTGATGAAAGAGTAGGATATCGCATTGAGCTCATATTCCAAAACTCAAGTAAAGAACTCTATTTACTTCGTAACTTATCTCCACCAAGTAAAGATTCAACT